AAGGAATGAAGTTGTTATTTGATGAAGAGGAGCTTTTTGCTTTGTTCCACTATAAAGAGAATAATCAGCATTACATTATTATTTTGAATGTAGCGCGCGGGCGCTTTTTGTTTGCTGATCTTTTCAGCACGTAATGCCAAGTGCAAGCGGGAATGATTAATTTCTCACGCAACACTCCACACAACTGGCAAAGTTCCACTTGCGCGCAGCGGCAAATAAAATACAATATTTCGCCTCGCTGCGGCTTTGCTCGCGCGTCAGGGGTGAAACGGCGTGTCATTTGCATATTGCTTCGACATCTTCCAATCGTAAAATTAAAACATGGCAGACAAATCGAGCTGTTTGCTCGCTCATAAAAATGCATGCAAATATAGCTTTCCCTCCGCAACGACTGCGATCTGATTTCATGAGTCGAACACCAGCATAAAATAAAAAGAATCTCCAGCAGGTCGTTCAAATTTACGATTTTTTTTATCGTTTTAAAGTAAAAAGTCCTCCAAAATGGAGACAACAGAAATTCCGATAAAATTCAATTACTTGAAGAAAACGACAGATTTCACATGAATTAAATTTAATAATGTTACAAAATATTTTTTCATTTAGGAGCTGGAAAGAAATGTAACAGAAGAAAATTTTAGGTGTAGAAATCTAAAATTTTGTCAAATATTTTTAAATCGGTGATTTGTAGTGTAAAAATGTCTTTTGAAAACAAAACAAATTCAATTTTACTTTACTCGATAGCTCTCTTTAATAATAGCATCTTGATATTTTCTTATTTTCTTTACTCTATAATTATTTAATTATAAAATATAATATTGAGTGACAATAAAACAAAATTCTGCAAAATCAAATTTAAAAGAATTTTTTTTTCATATTCAATTATTGGTTTTTTAAGATATTCGTTTAATCAACTGAAAAGCCAGTATAATGTGTCTTGCAAAACAAAATTCGTGCCTGAAACTAAAGGAAGAATAAAAAAAAATTTAAACAGCTTTAAGAATGGAAAGCAAAAGTAGTGAAAAGTGTGTGTTTTTTTATGTCAAGAAAACTGGTCTCTGGTGCGTCCCTCTTCTCCCTTCTGCAGGGCCGAATCAATGGATCTAATAATAGGCGCTCTCAATCAGGTTCACGGAGAGGCTGGTGGTGCTGGTCGAGAGAGAGAGAGGCTGCGCCAGTGGCCAGAGAGAACCCTGACGTCAAAGGCGCGCGAGGCGCTTTTTACGCCCGCTGAATAATTGAGGAGGTACGCGTTTTGTTTTTTACCAATTCAACAGGCTTTGCGCCGGCCAAAATCAACAACCCGCAGCGAAAATTCGTGCAAATCTCGGCGGCTGCACGCGGCGGGCAAAGGCAGAGAGGCGCCCCTCAAGCTCGCCCGGGGATGTTGTTTCCCCTCGCGCCATTCGAGTGCACCAGCCGCACACATACAAGGCGCGCTCTAGTCTCAGTCAGAGTCAGATATATATTTATTGCGCTATCTCGGCGGCGATGCAATTTGTTTGCCCACCCGCCCGCTCATTGTCTCACGTGTGGCAGCCTCTCTTCTTCTTTCTCTCGCTGCCTCTCGGCGCTTTTCATCTAAAATCCCCTTTCAAAATTGCATGTGTCTCGCAGCCAGTCTCTTTCTGCTGCTCTCTCATTCAGCGTCTCTTTCTCTCTCTCTCGACGGCGAACCCTCTCGGCCGACCTCCACTTGGAAATAATTAGAGCGAATTTTTTTTTTTTTTATTGTAAACAACTTTGTGGCCGCCTTTGTCGAGCGCGGTCCTCTGTGGTTTTCCAACGCTTTTCTAGATTTGATTAGGGAGCGAGCCGAAATCCCTGAATGACGATTCGAACCGCTCTTTATCACGTCGTTTAATTTAATTTCGGAGTGAAACTTTCTCTCAAAGTAGTCTTAAATGAATGAGGTTGGATGAGTTTCTCTTCTCCGGTAATAATTATTATTCTAACCGATTCCATAGCTATCGGAGCGTGTAAAATGTCCTACTTTTAAGCTTTACTGTGACGCAAATCTTTGAGCCGCTTGGCAAATACTTCGACAGCACAGACTTTTGCAATGACCTTTTACGCAGTTCTGCTCAAATGGAAGTTGTTTACATAGACTTAAAGGATGGCTGTTCTATTCATATGGAAGCTCTTTAATGAATAATTAGATGAGATTTTTCAAAAGTGCGTTAATTAAATTACTAAGGATAATTTAAATTAAAAAGTAATTTTTTAAAGATATGTGTGATAAAATTCTTCCTTTATTTTGTTTACTTTTAAAAAAGTTATTGCCAAATGGAAAATTGAGAAGAAGGATGTAATAAAAAATACTCAGCAAAAATATATATCAAGACCACCGCCGCAGATGCAAAACACAATAGTATGAAAATGATCAATGCGCTAAAAAAAAAAAAACAATATTCGCAATTAGCTTGAAATTGTTAATCATACAGTTTATTTCTTTTTGGTTTGATTCCAAATTTAATTCAATGTCTTTTTTTCAATAATTTACTAACAACGTAGACCGTAAAACTGTAAATGAAAGTATATTTTTTTAACAATTAAGAAAACTTGATAGTCTTTTTGAAGAAGATGAAGTTTTTTTGCTGGGGAAGTTATGAATTTGATTATTTGAAAGTCTACAGAACCAGAAAAATTTTATTTTATAAGTAAATAGAATGTGAATGATTTGATTTCAACGTATATGCAGCCAATGTCACCCTGGTTCAGCTTTATACATATTATATAAAATATGCATAACCTAGTTCACTATACACACAGATTAACATGCACCAATTCATTTATTAATCCCACGCCTCTTTGTATTGTTAGTGCGCAATCGTATTTGTTAACGCATGTGATTGACATTCAGCATTTATTATTTCTGTTGTCGTGTAAGTAAAGCCATCCTGGTGCACACTTTTTGCAGTTTTACAAAACTTTCTTCACTCGGAGGCAGAAATACACAAATCTATTTTCAGCGTTGGGGCATCAAAAACTGTTACGAACAAGCCCTTGGGTGCGTCAAGTCGAGTGGGGCAGTTGCGGAGGAGAGACGGGGAGCTATTGCTGGAGGCCTCCCTCTGGGCTTGAGAGCTGCTCGATAGCACATCTTGATATCTGGAACGGTGCAGGTATTGCAACAAGCAAATCTCCTGGAGATGCCTCGACGGCCTTCGTCGCGCTAATAATGCATTAAGCGCCTCAAGTGATTGCGAAGGGAGTTTCGTTCAAAGGTACAACGCGCTTCGATATGGAAACGGCAATTAAAAAGCAGCAGCTGCGGTTGCCAGGCGAGAGGCAAATGTTGTTCTGTTTATAAAGCAAAATTTGACCCAAATTTATTGCGGTGGCTCTACAGTGTCGCTGCCATAATTAAACGTCAGCGTAAAATATTCAAGCGGGTAATAAATTTTGGAGGCAGAAATGATTTACTTGCAGCTATCGTGTTTCTCAGTATTTTTGCTTGTACCTCACAAATTTTAGCCGCGACGTCGTGAATTTTTATTTTTATTAAGTTCACAAATGGGTAGCCATGGAGATCAATGAGAATGCAGAGTTATTTTTAAATATATGTGTGTCGTGTCTTTATTTTCAAACAACCAAAAATCTACACGTATAATATATATTTTCATAATTTATTCGCGTATAATATATGTTTTTAATGTATATACTTTTATTTGAATGAATACAATATATATATTTTCATAGAGATGATACTGGCTGAGGCATTATTACTAGTGTTGTTCTTCTTCATTGTATCTTAATTTGCTTTTTTCTGGTAATTTTATTTTCTTTCTTTTTTTTAACAAACTGCGCGCACGCGCAGGGAGAGTGAGAGAGGTCGTTCGAGAGTTTTATTAATTTTTTAATCATGTTATTATTCATTCCTTCTTTGTTTGCATGTTTTATTTTTTTTAATATTTTTCAATAATTTTTGTCGAAAACGCACGCCGAAGTGCGTGCGCGCTCTCTTACATGGGTAGTTAGTAGTGCCGCATCGTGACGCGCTCACGTCCAAAAACACTCACGCACTCCGCGCCGAGGGGCGCGCGACGGCCCCGCCGCCGCCGGCCGAGCCCTGAGAACGGGCAGCGAACCGCCGGTCCGGGCGGGGGCCGCCGGCAACGCACGCACGCATCGCCACGCACACGTAAAAAGAGTCCGGGCAACAGGGGGGCAACTCCTTGCGGCGGGCGTGACTCGCGCGCCACCACACACTTAAAACACATCTATCACAACGGGAGCCTAGGCCTGGTTGAGTACTTTTTTTCGTAATAATAAGCGTTTGCATTATTGAGAGTGCGCGCAGTGCATAATATCGAGTGGCAGGAATGTATCACATTGTATTGCAGTGCTGGTCGGCGGCGCCGGGGCCGCCGACACCGGTGCAGTTAGGGTGCGAACGAGCCAACGAACCAAAGTCGTCTTACTTTATTGCTGCGGGTGCGAAACCCTGAGACAGATCATTCGGGGGCCGACATGCCGACATTCCCGACCGGAACGTTTCTGTCGTCAAAACTGGCGCCGCGTTTCCAGGGGAGACAAGAAAGTGAGAGTGCAGGGTGGCTTGTCTCGGCGAGAAACGCGGCGAAACCGGCTCGGACCGAAATGAAAAAGTGATCACCTCGATCCGAGTGGCTTTCGGCGTTTCGAAACGTTTTCGGTTTACATTATTTTCATTTGAGGTGCAACATTAATTTTTTTCCCATCCAGACGCGGTCGGGACACAGAGGGTGGCTTCCAATATCAGAGAACTGATTTTTGCAGCAGTCCACGCGCAAAGATTCTCGAGCATTGAATCTGGCGAAACGATTGTCGGTTCTCGCGCAACGATTCTCTCGCAAAGTTTCTCGTGAAACGATTCTCGACTTGTCAATTTCCAATAAATTTAATTTGTATTGAAAACGGAATTTAAAAGCTATTTTTAACTGTAAAAATAAAATGAAATTTAAAAAAAAAATTAAATATAATATGCATAAGTTAATCTTATTCTACGATATATAATTTAATTTTAAAATGTTTTTTTTTTTCAAAACAAAAACCAAACAAAATGTTATCATTTTAAAATTTAAGAACCTTTGAATTTGCTCCTTACAAGTTACATTTGAAATAAAGCCAGCTGCAGAGCACCTAAATATTTTATTATTTTATGTGAAAACTTTTAAAAATAAGAAATTAAACAATGCTCTACATGCATAAGTCCATAAATAATAAGTTGTGAATTGCTTGGAGTTTTTTTTAACAAAAATATTCACTTATGGAAAAAAAACATTAGAGTGGATCAATTGAAAATAATTTTTTTCATTAAAAATTATAATACATAAAGAAATATGAAGAATCGTTAGAGAAGCAACAATCGTTTCGCCAGAATCATTGAGCGAGAATCTATGCGCGTGGACTGCTGCGAGAATCGTTTGTCTGATATCGGGATCCACTCGCAGTGGTTCGTCGATAGATTTTTGAAAGTAACACGGCGGCCCCGCACACGAGAAAGAAAGAGCGTTGACGTTGGGCGCGCGCCATGTTGCGTAGCGTCGGACGCGCAACCCGCGCACCCGCACGGCCACCAGTGACGCGCCAAGCACGGGTCGGAGGCTCAGAGGATGACGCGGCGGTGTCGGGAGCGCTCATCACCCGACCGGTCTTGCTGGCCACTGGCCGTCGGCCGCGACGGGCGGGGCGGTCCAGCCTTGCGCGTCCGGCGCGTTCCGGCGCACGCTACATCGAGAGACAGACACCGACGACTAACACCTACAGACCAACATCGAGCGGCGGCCAAGGCAGCGGCCGCACACAGGCCGCGGCGGCGGCGGGTTGCGACAGAGAGAGAGAGACAGGGAAGAGCGACACGGAACTAGGGCGCGTGCGGGCAGGTCACGCCGGTCAAGGAGTTGCGGGCTGAGTCCAAGCTCATTCGGGAACTGCAAAAGCGGGCGTCGCGTCTAGCGGCCCCGCGCCCAGCGGAGCAGCGCGTCTGCCAACACGTCTAGGTGCGCTTTCGTCTGCAACAATCGAACAAAACAATTATCAGTTAATTAGTAATTTGATCAGAATAAAAAATAATAATAATAACAAAAAATTCCCCTATTTCTGAGAATATGTTAAGAATTCGATCTTTTTGATCTCGTAAGTTTTAGCAAAATTCTTTTTTTTTTTCAAAAATCGAATGTAACGTTTGTAAAAATAAACAACATCTTTTGGTTTCAATTTGAGTTTATGCAACCTGCTTCACTCTATCGTGGAGCGGATTGCCTAGTAATTTGATTTTGAGATGTCACGAGGGATGGCAAAGTAGTTTATCACTGCCCCAGTTGCCATTATCCACTTTTTATCTAGACATGTGACCACTTTTTTAACCTACTTGTCAATGGAAAATAATTTTCATTTTAAGTATATAATGAGCTCAGACTGCTATTTGTAAATAAACTGAAATGAATTATATGTTGAAAGTTATTAATTCATTCAACAAATATATAAATAAAATCATTAAGGACGTGATATACTTAATGTAGATGTTAAATGACTAGTTTTTTAGTAAAAAATGTAAGGAAATAAACCAAAAAAAAATTATTTAAATAAATTTTACATAAAACCCAATTATACATTTGAGTTAATTGATACTTATTGACATAGCAAAATTAGGTCTTTACAACAGTAGGAGCTATTTTTGGGAATTCTTTAATTGGAAATTGTAACTCGTAACCACCATTGTTGAAAATACTCGATTCCTTCAAAATTATCATATTTTCAGAAAATAGCCCATTTAAAATTTAAAAAAATTAATAAGCAGCCTATCAAAATTTGTACAAAAATTGCCACAAATTCCCATATGTGCTAATTATTTCAGCTGAAAAATTCGCTTAATAGGCGCCTATTTAGGCAGAAAAAATCATTTTTATTTCCCATATCTAGATTTCACGCTTTTCTAATTTCATTTGCACATCCAAGCGGAAACTAATTGTAAGTGATGCTAAAAGCTCATGCAAGATCCGTTTTCTTCGTTTCATTGACAATATTTCCATAAAAAATTCCTTTTGAAGATTTTCCTTTCAGTCGAGGCTGTGGATTTACGGATTTGCATTCGCCCTCTTTCATTAATTTTAAAGAGGTCAAAGGCGGAGAGATTTTGCGCCAAACTTCTGGGCCATGGCGCATACCGGTAATGAAATTTGGCCCTGATTAAATCGCTTTTGAGCCATGAAATTGCCGTGAAATTCGCAGTCTCAACACTGCTATGTGAAGTGGCTGCCGCCGCCGTCCGCCGTTCTTTTTTGACGAGCGCGCGCGCCGAGTGCACATGTTCGTTCCCTCGGCGTGCCGTGCACTTTGGAGAGAAGTAATTAGGTGGCTCTAATGGGAGCCTTGACATTTAATTAAGGAACTCGCTTTTTCCGCAAACGCAAAACAAAATGCTAATTTGGCTGCTTCATTATTCACTCTCGGCACTAATTGCCTTATAATGCAAACTTTGTCCCGCTGCGTTTATATATTTCGACGGCATTAAACTGAGCCAGCCCAAAACGTAACAAGTTTATTGACTATGCGCACGACACATTGAGCGTCATTAAAAATGAAACGACCTGGCCGAAATGTGGTCCAAGCGTGCGTGCGAACGACCGAAATAGCTTCGTTTAGAGTGCGGCTTCAGGTTTATTGATGATCTATAATATAGTGTAATAGCATTTCTTTTTACATCACTTGAGTGTTCATAAATTTGATGGCGCCAAATTTGCTGATCGTTGAATGAGAAGCAAATAAATTTTAGTACATCTACCATTTAACTCAAATTACTATAAATACGCCATGCGAGGAACGCCATGCTTGATACAATATTTTCAGTTTTAAAAACAGCAACCAGCAAAGTAAAAATTTTACAACTGAAATCGTAATCTAATCAATTTTTATAATTAAATATATTAGTTTATTGTCAAGAAATTAGGATTTTATTCAGTTTTTAAAATCAATTTTACTAATAATTTAAATTAAAAGTTGTAATATAATTACAATAATAATAATAAACACAATTTGCAACTATAATTTTAAATAAATTATGGTTACATTCATAAAAATTTATTAGTTCAAATGTAGATACAATATAAATACAATATATTTTTATTAAAATTATTCATCAAATTTATTCAATTTTCTTAAATTTAATATATCCTTATAATAGAGGGGTTACATTCATTGCATAATTGTCAAGTTGATTTTAATTATTAGTCTAATTTTCAGCTGATAAGCTCAAGGATAATAATTATGGCCTAATAAATTTTACTCTAAAAATTCTGGAAGGCAGAACTGCATTGAAAACATGGGAAAAAGATTAGTAAATTCATATTTTAAACTTAACTTCCAACAACCATGAAAATATAAATTACAAAAATCAACCTAAATATTTTTAAGCAAATAATTTAAATTAAGTTCATAAGTTCTTTTGAAAAAAAAAATGAAGATTGAAAGGTTAAATTTTGCCCATGCAGGGAGACTTTTTCTTATATATAAATTGACCCAATGTATGTAACAAAGTTAAGTCTTTATTCCGTGACTTTTTTTGGAAATAATATAGTTATCCGCAGAACTAAGCCAATTTAGTCCCGCAACGGCCTAAATTCCCTTCTCAATCAGCAACAAGGCATTTTATCCGTAAGTTAATTTGGTGACAGGAAAAGCCTCCCGTCTCAATACAGGCTCAATTGGTGGAAAATTGGCCGAGCTACGCGCTGTCCATGCTGAAGATACATCCCGCTTGCTTAAAATTTTTCGCACGTTTTCCTTGACAAGGAAAAGCTCGGATAAAACAGAAATACGGTCGTGTCCAAATTAAACGACGAATTCGTCCCGATAAACTCAAATTGGGGGCCTTCTGGTTTCATTGTGGCAAAACATAATTCGCTACCATTATAGGCGGACGATTGGATGGTCTCGAATTACCACAGCGGCGGGCAGAAGAGCCGTTTGTGTTTTGCCAGCTATCAGCCCAGTAATAATGGTATCAATTTGTGTGTCCGCCCGTCGTGCGCCCCATACCGGCAATACAAACAAAATTCTATTGATTCGCCGGCGAAGAGCTATTTTTGCCATTCAATTCCATCAGCGGCGTGGCTGTCCAAACATTTGGGTGCAGGCAGTGACCGCCGAGGGTGCAGGTGCCTCTCGCGGGCGGAGGGGGGGGGGATGATCGCTTGCGTAATGACCTGCGGAAATTGAAGGGCCTTTTCGCCGCCGCGACCGACGAAAGGAAAAACAATAATTTCGTGTTTATTTTCGCTCGCGCACTGGAACAAAGGCTCACAAATGGCATTTGGGCTTGATATTTTCCAGCGTGCTCTGCAACAAAACTGCTTTGTTCCCAGATGGATTGTTTAATGTTGAGAGCGGAAAATCCCTGGTGAATTTTCGCTGCTGCCGAACACTCTTTGTTCAGCATCGCCGCTTTATTTCCACGCTAAATGACGAGCACTTGTTTGTCTTCATGGAAATTAGCCTCCGATGCAATTTCGTAGAACACGTTTTGCATTTTAATGGTTTTTGTTGAATATTTCTCGTTTTCTAGGATTTTTCGCTTGTCCGGAATTATTCAAATTTCATCCACTTATTGGAAAGCAAATATCAAACAGAATCAATATTGTTTGCGCAAACATAAGAGCAGAATCGCACCGGTGAATAATTTATACCATAAACGTCACTAACGTTGGTGACAAAAAGAACTATTAGCCTAAATTAAATCATTTTTAAATAAGATAATTTTATACTGGAATACTTATTTAATTACTTAACATAATAATATAATATTAAGTATCTGTTTTATTTGTTAATTTTTATTAATAAATTATTTTCATTGTTTTTCCACTCTATGCGTATTGGTAGACCGCGAATTAAATTAAATATATCATAATATATAAATCTCATTTTTATATTTTTTAATTGACTGCAAAAAAAGAAGTAGCGAACTGGTAATTTTTTCACTAATTTATTTTACCTGTTTTGACGTGTTTCTTTTATGTATCAAATTAAAAAAAAAATGTTATTTTTCTGAAGAGATTCACTGAAAATATATTTCATTATTTTCTAAAGAAATAGGTTGAGACATTTTTGCACTTTGTCTTTCTTAGCTCTTATAAAAAGTGATGGAGAGGGAGAAGCGGCGCGGTTTAGATTTTTTTCGCAAACATTCTTGATAACTTTGCACTTCTGAGTAATAAGCGGAAGGCCTGGCGTTGGTATATTGGTGGTGGTGGCCACAAATTAACTAGCAACTCAGACATATTTCGGCTTGTACTTTTGACCTTTTTGCACTTGTAGTGTCATGAATATTTATGATTTTTCCAATTCGATTCTTTTTGCATGCACTTCGTTTTTTCTAGTTTTTAACAATGAATCATTTCTCTTATTTTTATTTTATTGTTTATTATCCTTATTTTTATCACTTGATATAAAAGTATATTTTATTGATCTTTTTTACACATGTCATACTTTAAATATTCTATTTAATTAAATGTGTGCATTTATAATTGTTTTAAAACTTATTTCCAAATCAGTATGCAAATAATTTTCCGCTCAGAGGTGAAAGAGGAATTCTTATTCAAAACAGCGCTTTTATTACCAGTTTGATCTCTCTTTTCTCGCTGGCCAATGAAAGGAAATAAAACATAAAGAGCGAGCAAACATGTGCGTGTCCCCGGAAAATTCCGCTCGTTCCACCGCTTTTTATGCACGGAGGTACTAAAAAGCATGCCCGAGTGTATTTACAGAGCTGCTTGTGGAAGTATCAAGTTAGTGGGGCGGCGCAGGAAGTGCAGATCGAATCGCAGCAGCACGCCCTATTAAATTTTATTTCAAAATTAGAAGCGAGTTTTTCAACGCCGCTCGTGAAAGTTAGCGAAATGACTCTCGTGCCGTTACTCGCTCTCGAGATGGAATCTCCTATTTGTGCACAAAAATAGAAACCCATTCTCATAACTTTATTGCTGAACATTGAAAAAAATAGGTGTATAAAAATTAGGGAGATTTTTATGAAAATGATAATAAATTTATGAAAAATTACTGCCGATTTAGATTTTATTATAAACTGTAACAAATCCACCGAAAATCAAATGAGCAAACAAAGACAGCTTTGCCATTCATGTGTCAATTTCAGCCATCAATTTGGTTTGTTTTGATTCTGAGGCTGCGGCTGTGTGTTTGTATTGTGCATTGCTTGTTTCCGTACGTGACCGCAATGCTCATGGCGTACAGTAATTATTCCCATTATTTGTATTCCGACAAACACGAGAGCGCGTCGCTTCTGCCACGGAGACTTGTTGCAAAAGCGCCGCTCGTTAAATCGGAAAAATGCAGCTGACAACCGCCATAAAATGCAAATGAGAGACTCACGCGGGTGTCGTTGTCCGCAACCGTAAGGAATTCTAATTGCAAAGAGCGAATGTATTTTTATAAAACACATTCCGTGCAGATTATTATTTCATTTTTTTAAATACGCCCATTTAGATTTATCAGCAATGCTGGACGTGATTAATTTTTCACGGGTTTTTGCTGCCTTTTTCACGAATAACAACATCAATTACTCTTTCAAGGGTCGACGAAAGCCTGATAAGCTCTCCACATTTCCAAGCTCACGGATATTTTAAGCCAGAGGCGACTTATTTCTGTACAGAAAATTTCCATCGCGTGCAACCGCGGCAGCGCAAAACCTGCCAAGCGCTTTGCCATTGAGGTGAGGCGCCGCCACCGCTCTTTCCGGCCGCTTTCGGTTTTTTACTCTAATAATGCAGGCGCACGGCTTGTAAATTTTCTCATTTCGAATTCTCGGCTGAATGCGGCACACACGGTTACAACTCTAGGTCGTTTCCCAATCAATTGAAACATTTTTTAATTTCATGAATGAAAAACTAGATGAATAAAATGTTTTAAACTTTAAACGAGCCATTTTAAATGCAATTTTTCTTAAAATTTCTTTTTTATGGAGAATAATTTGTGTTTCATTTTGATTAATACTTTTTTCATGTGCATTGTTACAATACATTGTTGAAAACAATTAATTTAAAAAAAGGAATTGTTGGTGAAAACGGCACCATCAATAGCAAGAATTCTGCTAAAACTTCCGAAATCAAAATCATCTCATCTACAAAAATCCAATAAATTTACTCGAAATCAAAATTACATAATTTTGTCATACATGGCATTTTTTTATTGGGCCTCAGTTTTTTTTTTTATAATTAAAATAATAATTAACTTCAATTAACTTTAATTTATCTATACGTGTTAGGACCAAGATTTTTTCTAAACATGAATTTGACTGGAAACCAGAGAACATAGCGATAATTTCAAGCCAAATTCAGACACTTTCGAAATAATTTTTGTGTCCACTTTGAACGCATTTGGCTCGGTTAGAGAAACTAATCCTAATTGAAATAAAAGAGGGACTGCTGGCAAAAAGGCTTGCATGGTGAGCAATGCTACTCTTTTCTTACGAGAAGAAAGGCGAGCCGGCGCTTTTGCCCTCAGCATACCCTGCACGACATTAAATCTCCATACAAAATAAAAACACAAATATACAAAGCTGGAAAAAATTTATTCTGTATGGAAATGTGATAGTCCGCTCGCTCGCACAACAGAAAACTCCTCGCTGATACATGCTTTTTGCTGACCGAAGAAAATGAAGAGAGGAAAAGCTAGCGGAAAAATATTGTATAGAGATACGATTATTGGGCTTCGAGCCCGAAGTCTATAAAATTTGATATTAAATTACACGCGTACATAAAGAGTATGGAGGGAGCGAATGAAAGAAAGAATCGTTCACCCGCCGCTGATTTAATGAAACTGAGCGTCTCGTTGGTTGGAGGAAGAATTCGCGCGCGCGCGAGCGCCCGACTGTGAAAATAAATGAGATGAAATATTCAGGCAAGAAAAAGCATATTGCATGTAATTGAAAAAAGCAGGCGAGGCATGAGAGAGGAAAGAAAAAGGCCAGCAGCTTTTTACGACGGCAGCATTCGTTTTACTGCGATGCCCCGTCGTAAAAGTTAAATTAATTATCTCTTCATTTCGGAGTGAATGAAACACAGCGGCCACTCTCAGGTTATTACGCCGCCTCTGTCCTTTACTAATTCATGCGTGCGCGGCGCGTCAAAGGCTCTCGCACGGCCATCGCATCCATAATTAATGGCATTTGTCGTTTTAATTAGCGGAAAAGCTCGAAATCGACCTAGACTTTGCGGAAGCAAAATTCTCGTCGCAAGAAGAAGTGCGCACTTGCCCCGTGTACATGCAATTTTTCCGCTCGCACGTCACAAGCCTTGTGTATTTTGCCGTCGTCTTTTGAAGAGAGTAGCGCCGGCGTAGCGCAAGAAGAGCTCCACGTCCTCTTTTTCCGCTGAAAGGGGCTCAAATTAAGAGGCTTTTTGTTTCGCCAGTGAAGAGCGCGCCGGGTCAAAGACGATGATATCATTTGATTATATTTCCCATTTCGTCGAATTGGAGAGAAAGAGAGAGCGGATCGTTTTCGCTAACCGTTGAAAAATGTTAAAGGTTAAAACACTCGGGAGCCGAGCACGTGACCTATTTTCGTTGGCACGAGAGTTTTTTTCCCTCGTTCTCGCCAAAGTGGAATTTATTTCCACAAACAAATTCATCCCGTTTTCCGCCGGCTCAGAATTCAAAGGGCCGGCCGACGCAAAAAGCGCACCATCTGGTGCAAATTTTAAATCCTCTTTTCCAATTTAAACGAGCCAAAGTCGAAAATCTGCCTGCAAGATTATTTTACTCTCTCTCTCTCCACAGAGCTGCGGGGCAGGAAAAACATTCAAAGAGATTATTAATCCGTCGCGGTTGTGTGCCGTATTTTTTTGCTTTCGTGGCGTCGAGAGAGAAAGAGAGAAGGGGCCAGTTTGAAGGGAAAAAAACACACCACGCTATCTCTGCAGTTTCGGGAAGAAAGGAGCCCATTTGTAGCTAAACCAAGCTAGAGAGATGCGATCGGCAGAGATTTATGGGCGCATGCAAATGACGTGGAAAATTGTGAGGGAAAAATAATAATAAATTGAACTCACAGTCTTGTAGAACATGCAGGCTTGACGGTCCTCGTCTTCGCCGTTGGGACAGTCAATGAAACCATCGCAGAGCACGTGGTCATCGATGCAGCGGTAGCGCCCCATCCTGTCCGGCGTGGGACATGCGAAGCGCTCCATTCCATCCTCGGCGGGCGGACACTCTGCAAAGCAAACAAGCAAAGAGTGAGTGAGTGAGTTATTTTGCAGACTGATAAAAAATTATAGCAGGAGAGCGGCAAGGTGCGGGGCCGGCGCGGCGCCAGTCAGGGGCGAAACTTTGGAAAAGTTTGGCGCAATCGATCGGCGGCAGGGGTCCGCGGTGGTCACGTATAAACAGAGAGAGAGCGAAAGAGCGGCCGGCGGGAGCCATGAATCGAGGTGTGGTTCATAGAGCGAGAGACCCTGCTTCCTTCCTTCCTTCGATCGGCTCCATTCACACCGGCGGTGCCCTCTGACGTCACTGGGTCGCGCTGACGTCACCCAGTCACCCGCCCTGCAGCCCCCGCGCCGAATTAATGCGCCAGATTTATAATCGGCTTGTTTACCCGAAAGAAGAAGGAAGCGAGAAAGTTTCGAGACGAAAAAACAAAACGATTCGTCTTGGGCGACGCGCCGCCGAAACTTTTGCGGCGCGCCCCAAACGCCTAATTGGGATTTATTATTTTTATTGTTAAGCATCAGGTGAAACAATGGCACGGGCACCCCGAGCGCCAGCAGCCAGCGAACGAGAGCGGATGACGCAAATCGTGACGCGCGAGCCCGTCAGCCAATGGCGCCCGGCCCGCTGGTATATCGAGCGGCCCGCGACCTGGGCCCTTCGCCCTGCCGATGACCCGACCTGCAAGTCCGCACGTGCAAACAAGTTGCATGCACGACAACAACCTGACGTCAGCCAGCGTTTTGGCAGGCGTTCAAAAGCAAGCGGAGGCCGCCCGCTTGTCTCGCCACCGCGAGCGCTGCGTCGCCCCCCTTCGTTGACGCACCCCCCTCCCCTTCACCGAGATATTTTGGGCTCGCTGCGTTCTGTGCGCCCAACGAATTCAAATTTATTATTCCGCCACCAAAGTAAAAGTGTGCAAATCAATCCCCGACCGGATTGCTGATACTTACTACCGCGGACACTTGATACTACCCTGAATTTTACTACCCTTTGTGGGGAGAGACACTGGCATTATGGGCGATTTATCGATCAAATATCGAATCGTTTACAACCGCAAGAGTTACATATTTTGATTGATTTATTTATTTTTAAAAGAAAAAATTTAAATAAATTTAATATTTTTATTAAACGATTGAAATTTAATTTTGTAATTTTTATTTTTGAAAAAATTAATTATTTACTGAACATTATTATTTTTCATTCTCCGCAATTGAAATTTGAAAAAGATAAGAAATGGTTTAAAACTAGCAAATGTCTGCTAAAGCGCTTAATATCAAAATAGACTCGGTCGCCACAGCTAAAACAAAATAGAGTTTTTAATAATACTAAAGATTGTAAGAAAATTACAATTTTATTACTAAAAGCTGTTCCATTATGATCAAATGTTTAATTAGTCCAGCGTAATCTAATTTACTTCTTCAATAACTAAAAATATAAAAAAAAACACTGATTATAATAAAATTATTATTTATATCTGAATGTTTCAAAAATTTATTTATAAATTGTAATTTAAAACCCAAATTTTATTTTGTTATTATTTTTTCTTTTTTAACAGTATCATGATTGTAATAATTTCACTTTCACTTTATATATTAAAAAAAAAACATAACTTTAAAATATTTTTGCATGCTGCTGCCTAAATTTTTGTTCATCCTCTATAATGCAGAGATAATTAAAAAATCTAAATTACGATTTGAAATTTTAATTTTTACATTCAATGTTATTTTATCAAAATACAAATAAATCAATCATGTGATATTTCCTATTCAATTTCTTTCCTCGGGGTAGTAAATGTCGTCGCCAACGATTCGATATTTCAATGATACATATATCGTAAATGGCTCTCCCCACGATGGGTATTAAAATTCCGGGTACTAAGTGTCCGCGGTAGTAAGTTACCTTTTACCTACCGACCGACCGATGAATAAAAGAAAATGTTTGGGAGCTGTACTTAAAATCCTAACGCACAAAACGTTCATAGATAAAGTGGATATACTTGAAAGCGCATTTTTTTTCTCGAATTTAAAATTAATTACGATGTAAAATAAAAGATTCGACAAACAACAACATTTAAAAGTTCTGCAGATTTTCGGTGAACGTGGAAATTACTCAAAAATTTGTTTACAAACATCTCAAGAAAATTATCTTTTAAATGTTTTAAGCAAAACGGTTGCTTGAAAATTTGCTGTTTTCTACTTTTAAAACTTAAAAATTTAATTACAAAATTATAAAGGGAAACTTGGGAATATTTGAATTTTGAATAAATTTCATGCAAGTGAAAATGACAGTGCTTGTGACTGTGCAATAAACATGTGCGCAATATTATCCGAGTAAAGCCTCGAGACAAACTTTGATACAGGAGAGTGCGGTTTTATAAGAAACAACAAGCGCGGTCAGGGTCAGTTTGGCAAGGGTGAGCCAACTGTTGATTCACGGGGTGCAATCTCACCTATTTGGGGCACGTCGTACTGGCGGTTGCCCCGGGGCGATCGCAGCAGGAACTGGGAATTTCCGGTGCCCAGGGAGGCGATCAGGTGGTCGGCCTGCTGCTGCTCGTCGCTCCGCTTGTGCCACGCGGCGGCGGCCGCCTCGTCGGTCCGCAAATCAGCGAGCCAGTCGCGCTTGGAGGCCGGTTTGGAGGCGGCGGCGGCGGCCGCCAGCAGCAGCAACAGCGCGAGGGTGGGTTGCTTCATTGCGGGGGGTGGATTATTTCACTGGACGGCAGTCACGGCGGCGGCACCACTTTTCCGGTCGCGTGTCCGACATGCTGGCCCTTGGGTCGCTCGCCTCGGTGTGTTGCCTAGGTGGAAAGGAGGGGCGCAGCGCCAGCACAGCGACACCCACGCTGGAAAAACTCGCCAGGCTCCGCTCATGCGCCCGCCGCCGCCTCCATTGATTTTTCCTGCCCGCCTGTGCCGCTGCCTGCCGCTGCACCTTTTCAGAAAATTATTCAACAGTTGCCCCCGCATTTTCGGTCGCTTGCGAGCGCCGTTCAACAAGTCGGCCCCGCAATCGCGTGTCGGGGCCGCCGACTTGGGCTGCCGAGCGCGTGCCTCGAGGCCCGCGCGCGCGACCTCAGCCCGGACCACAGCCCGCCCGCACACGCACTCCAGGCCAACACCAACGCACAAAGCGGCCGAGAGGACGGCATGAATGAAATTCAAACTTGTTAACCGCTCATTACAAAAAACAACCCTCGCATTATTTACATAATAAATTGGCCATGTTTGCCTCAATTTAATTTTGTACATGAGAATTCCCTCGTTAATTTGGTAAACTTGAAAGAAAGGAAAATTTCAAAACATCAGTTCACTCGTTTCAAGCTTGCGAGTACGAAGATTTTTTTAAAGATTAAATTTAACTCGCTTTTGGCTCCAAATCTTAAGTTTTGCTGATAAATTTATACAAATTACAGAATAAGAAGAAAAACTTTGTCAACGTAGGCTCACTGCGGCGGATGGGGTCTTTTTGATTTCAGAAGTTTAAGCAAATTCTTGCTAGTGGTGGTGCCATTTCGTTTCAACAATTCCTTTCTTTTAAATAAATTGTTTTCAAAAATTCAATTTAAATAACGTGATGCAAAAATTTAGGCAAATAAACAACAATATAATATACAAAATAAATTCTGATCGGCCTGGCAGACTTGAAAAATTTTAATTTTTTCTACTGGATTCTTTATTAAAGAATTATTTTAACCGTAATTCAAATCAAGTCTTTAAAATAATTGGAGCCATTTTATCAATTATTGGAAAACTATTAGAAATTTTAACATCCATTGTTGTAATGACTTGATTTGACTATTTTAATAAGGATTCCGTAATAAAATCGTGACTTTTTCTTTCATAAAACTTTAAATTGCAAAATTTAAAAAAACAAAAAACCTGCCTTTCTCTTCATTAATTACAAAGCAGGCATTTTTCTTGCTTCGGCGAGAAAATAAATTTGAAAAAAAAAACCGTCTCACGGTGTCAGTTTCTCACTACTTTGTTGTGTGACTAGCGCGTCTGGTAGTAATTTTAACAATTGGTTACACGACACCCTTTGTTTTTGGCTCCATTCTTTGAAGCTGGTGGAAGTGAGATTTGAGGTGTGCGTGTGTACGTGCACGACGTGCGCAAACTTTGTCGCTTCTCCTTTTGTTTTGTTGGAGTTTAAAGTCCTTTGCAGTCGACGACACACACAAAAGTTTGAAAACGCTCCGAAAACAAAGGCAAGAAGTATCATAACTTTCTGAGGCCGCGGGAGCATTAAAATAGCTGTACTATCTCCGTTCCGAGAAAAACACGGTTGCGTGCGAACAGCCCGTTTTACGGCGAAATCGCAAACGACGGGGTCGTGAGCGCCGATTCTGTCCCTTGACATCGAGAATGGCGAATACAACTTCTTAGTAAAGAAATCCACCGCACATTTAGCTTACGTCAGTGGATTGTGCCGCCGCCAGTGAAAGATATCAAATGAAGTTGCAAGTCATTGCACATTTTTAACGCGAAAGCACGTCCTCGCTTCTAATTTCGTGTAATGTTTGTAATAAAATACATATCATGACGACGATGTGCGTCATAAAAAGACTCAGGGACACAATATCGCATATCGGTTCTTAAAAATTGAATTAGGAAATATGCAGAGCTAAGAATGTCTATTATCAACATGAGATTATTTCTGATTTGCAATAAGAAGGGTTTAATTTACTTCATTATAATTTATTATTTCTATTATTCGGTGGCTTTTTTTATTATATTCTTATTCATAAATTAAAATAAGATACCTTAAATTTAACTTAATATCTCGCAATCCAGATTTTACAGGGTTTATTATTTTCATTTTATTTATTTTGCTTATTAGTGCCTAGTGATGTTTTGTTACTGTTACGCAGAAGTGGAAATCCATTTATGGTCTCGAAGAAGATGAGGAAATGTCAACAAAATCTGTGCAGATGTTTATCAACAATAGGACTGTAATAATTATTGTATTTTCGGATGTTTCTCCTCCGCATCACTGTGATTTTGTTTTCACGCTGTCAGGATAAACGTACAAGAAAAAGATTCGCTGTGAAGTGAATCTTTCTGAAATCGGCAGGTTATTTATGTTTGCAACAATGGAGGCGCCCGCCGAAGACCACGCCATTGTAGGCGGCTGACATGCGAGTCCACTCTTCGCGCACGCAAAGCCAATCATTTGACCTTTCATCTGGAAATGTCGTCCGCGATTCAAAGCGAGCCATAAATCGAAAATTATTTGCTCGGAGCGAATCGTTGGTTGGCATGGTGGGCGACGTCGTTCGTGAACGCGATCGACGTCTAGCCCCTGTCAGAAGAGTGAGTTATGCAGCCTGGACGACAGAGAGGTCCAACTGGTTGCCTACGCGGCCCCTTGGGTTTTCACGATTGATTTGTTACTTTTGCGTCGATGGTGCATTCATCTGAAGCAGCAGCTACAAGGCGTTACATAACCAAACAGAGAGAGAGACCGACAATGGCTCAAATTGCGTTTTCACGAGTGAATTTGATGACCCTGTAAAGATTCCCTTCTATTTGTGCACATTGCTCTCAACCTACGCCAACGCGCACATTTTGCACATTCAACAGCGCATTGAATGAAAACTGAAGCCTTTGAATATTACGTTCGTTTTGTAACTCGATCACAAGTTTATTTATAGCGTGGTGACGGAGAAAAAAAAAACACATTTTAGCAATAACAGCAAAATGCAATTAAAACTTTTGTAAAATAGTGAAAGTTAAATTCGTAATATTAACTTCTCAAAACAAAAGAGTGTTTTTTTTTCAATATTTAGCTATGAATCGATTCATTTTTTGCTCTATTTTTAAATTTTAGGCCTTCTGTGGATAAATGTTTTCAATTTGATTACAAATTACCTGGAAACTTTGTTATTCGTCTTGAACCAATAATAGAATTTTTCCTCAAAGGGTCACGGTGAAAGCTGTCTAGCCAGGGTCACGCTTAAATGCTTCAATTTTTTTTTATTATTCAGAAACGGTATAAACGGGTGGGAAATAAATGAGGCAGATATAGAAGGAACTGCTTTTAGTAGTCGCATGGGCAATAAATTGCCACGATTAAAATGCCGGCGAGTCACTTGCTTTTATCGAGTCTCGGGCGAATGTGTAGTCAAGTTGTGCATGCCATATTTGGCGACCGATCAAACCCCCGCCCCCGACATTGGCCGGCTCCAAAGGGCAAGAGTGCACACTTTTCTGCATTGTGCTGTTGGCGCGCTCGAATGATCTCGGCACTTCGTGCATTCTTTCTTTTTTGCTCGATAATGCGACACACGAGCTCTCTTTTCCACCAGAGTTGGCTTTCCTTTCCGACCACGTAACGTGTATTTCATTGGCTCACCTTCTGCTCGTTTGTCACTCTGTTGAAACGTGTGCAATCCTGCAACTCATTTTTAGCAATTCAATATCAAATTTTTCATGCTCCAGGTTTTCTCAAGGCAAAATATTAATTACTTTAAACATAATAAGACACCTATTTTAATTGGAGTAAAATATATTGAATAATTTTGCCCTCTTCTTTGCAATTATTCATTTTTTTCTGCATTTTGTTTATTCATTTAGGGTTTACAAACGGCCGATGTAAATATATTTTTTACACTCGCCTGATGTGAATAAATAAGTTTTATGACCTTTATTGATTAATTATTTATACATAATTATAAAGTATGACTGAAAAGCAAACAGAAATAAAAAATTTCCATATTTATAAAGAACAATTTTTCCAATTTTATTATTATTTATGAATAACTATTATAAATCTTTGTATTTATTAGTTTAATTTTTTTTTAGACATATTCGTCCTTTTGATACATGCTGCTTATATTTTCATTTTTCTTAGTTAGACTAGAAGAATTCTTTGAATTAGAAAATAATTTGGTATAAAATGATACATTAAAAATGGAAATTAGTTCACGCCATGTTTGCGTATTCAAATAAAACTTTGCATTTTTCAGTTATCATCACGGCAATGTGACCTACATTATTTTTTATTCATGAGAATCAAAAATAAAAGGAAACCAAAAAGATGCTTCTCTGGTTATTTTTGGTGCTAAAATTGAAACATTTTCCTCGTGGGCTTTATTTTCATTCATAAGTAAACTTTTCAAACAAATTCGCGTTTACCGTAATAATGAATGAATCCAAGTTTTTTTTTCTTTGCCGAAAGCGACATGAGAATTTGACGGCTTCCCTAGCGGGTCCAATCGCGGCAATGGGCGTTTCGATTCGCATTGATATACATACACTGAGACGCAAAAACTGGTTCGCCACTAAATTAATGATAACTTGAAAGGGGCGAGTGGCGCACGCCAACGTCACGCTCGTTTAGCCTTGCACACAAGCTGCGATTACACAACCGCGGATAGAGCGAAAGAAAAGGAGGAGGTCTAAAAATAGCAAAAAACGATAAGGCGCGCGCGGTGTTACATAAAAACGCAAGTCAAGATGGTCGTTGGCGATACGCCGGGCTGCTTTTTCCGCGCGCGCTCCACCAAATTATGAATCGCCGCCGCCGTTTCTGCTAAATAATGCGCCCCGACGACGAGTGTATCCATTACGATGTAATCGCGAGCGAGTGCGCGATTTGAGCCCGCGAAAGAGCAGCTATCGCAGAAGAAGACTTGGCCCCATATACAGGGCGTTTATTTTTGGATCGACCCCCCGTGCAATTGACTGTGGCATAATGTGCGCTATCAGATTGTTGCGTGTGAATGGCCAATTATTTCGCTCGCTCGGCAAACTCCCCGCCCGCCCGCCCGCAAAAGCGC